ATTAGCGACTTGTTTCTTAGTGATAACGTTGATTTTCTGCCAATAAGCCAATCTATATTCTTAACGTGATCTTTCCATTTGAGTCTGGCATCTAGCGTCATACCAAGGTATTTTGCGGTGTCGGCGTAAGAGACTGCATTTCCATTTATGTGTACTTGACATAGTTTATTTTCTTATAAGTGAAGTTTATGTATGTCGATTCATTTCTATTTAATTTGATTAGCCATCATTTGGTCCAGTTTTCCATTGAATTTAAGGCCAATTGTAGCTTATTTGCTGCAACTACTTCATTTTCTGTAACAGCCAAGATCGCTGTGTCATCTGCGAATGTAGCTGTTAAAGTTTCTGGTATCTGCGGAAGGTCGAATGTGTAGAGTAGTGATGGAACGGATAGTGATTTTGCGAGAAGCGGGATACCGGATATTCGGCATCTCCTTCGGCCGGATATCCGGCATATCTATCCGGCCATTATGGTTATAATTTCTGGTGCAGTTCTGAAGTGATACCCCACATTGCCACATTACTGCGATATTTGAATAAAAATTAAATTAATATGAAAACTGATTAGATATGTCAACTAATTTGGATCCAAGATATAAAATGAACTTTTTTGATACTTCTATCTGTTGGCCAGTAAGTTGGCGTACCAGTGGAGAGCACCTAATGGTTGATGTTTATATACGATTCTCCAAGACATACAATATCAATATTGTTTTCTTTAAGTATTACTGGTAGTGTATTTTGATGCTGTCGAAGACCATTGGAATTCCACAGCATTATTTTTAGTTGCTACTTTTTCGACATTTTGATTTCTCTTTTGAATCGCTCCTTGGTTTAAGTTGCTTTCAATGAAATCTAGACGTGCATATAATATAAATACTGTACATTGGAAAAAAGTAGAGCAACTTAATTTTTTTATATTAAATTTTAAATTTATATTTTTCGTCAGGTTTTGCATTACTATGGCAATGTGTATTATGTATGTAGCAATTGTGTAGCCGAAATTTGACAAAGATAGCTTTATTCTTTTAGAAATAAAACAGAGATGCAAAAGTTGAGTTGGAAAAAAGTAGAACAACTTAACAATTTATAGGTAAATAACAGTTAAATTGAATAAAAAGCAAAGATTTTTTAGTACTTAATACAATCTCCCTTATTATTAATGTCACCGTGATACCTTCGTGACATTGAGTGTACTAAATTGTCTAAATTGTGAGCAACTATTTTCCATAGGTTTTCTATAGGATTTAAGTCTGGTTACTGTGACGGCCAAGTCATCAAATTTTTTATTTTATTTTATTCCAACCATTCCTTTACCACTTTAGATGTGCGTTTCGGATCGTTGGGCTGTTGAAATTTATAAGAGATAAGCAGATTTTCGTCGGCATAAGGTTCCATAACATTTCTTAATATATCACGTTACATAAATCTGTCCATTATTCCCATAATACGGTGTATAGAGCCTACACCAAAACCGGAGAAACATCCCCAAACCATCACAGAACCACCTCCATGTTTTATTATGTTCGCTGCATGTACTTAGAAGTCAGCCTTTTTCCTATTGGACGCCTCACATATTGCACTCAATCACTTTTAAATAAGTTAAACTAGGATTCATCATTAAGCAATACCTTTTTCCATTCGTTGTATGTTCACACATGTGGTGAGGCCGCCTTTGAACGGTCTCGACCTTTCGTAATACCGCTGCCACCAGAAACAGTATTTCGCGCTTCCTAATTCTTAGTCTGAAGGACCCCTAATTGATCCTAGCGAATCAATCAAAACTAAATGACAAGCGCGCGGTCACTATTTCAGAACCGTGGGTTCTTGCACTAAGGCTCTGTCAGGAAAAGGGGAAAATCAAAAGACAAGTGTTCTAACCACACTTAAACTATATTAACAAAATAACATGTAAAAATAGACAATGAACAAAAATGAACCTTATAATCTACCTACGATTATCTATGACCCGACGTTACTTAAAAAGAGATATTTCCGAATCTAACCTCGACAGCTAATACTCGTTGACAGATAGGTGATAACGAAAACTGGCAAACAGACTTACTCAGGACTTGTATTCCGATTTGGTGGTACGCCGATGGATCGCAACCCTGGATCCTTTTTGGTGGCTTCTCGGAAGTTAACCGGGAAGGTTCCAACACCACTCGTTGT